GAGGCTCATCCAGCCTTCACAGGACCCTGGAATGGTTTGGGTTGGAAAGGACCTTAAATCCCATCTCATCCCATCCCCTTCCACTACACCAGGGTGCTCCAAGCCCTGTCCAACCTGGCCTTGTCAAGGCACATCCGAAACACAACTCTGCAAGCTCTGGTGTTGTTAGGCAAAGCCTGGGGAGATTAAAAAGGGAGGCTCAGAGCAAAGGGAACCACAGCCAAAACAGACACAGGGAAAAAAAAAAAAAAAAGCTCATGAACCACCCCTTCTCAGAAAGACACTTCTCCAGGTGGGATCTTTCCTACAGGAAAATGTTTTCTGAGTGAGGTCAACCAGCGCTTCGAGGAGCAGAGCAGAACTTTTGCCAAAGCTTGTGCTGGAGCACATCAAAGCAAGAGAAAAGGCAAACTACGCTCTCAGCCCTGAGCTATATCAGCCAAAAAAACCTCAAGCTGTTCAAAACAGCAACATCCTCCAGTTCTGAGTGTGTGAAAGAGCCCCACGGCTTCGCTGTCACGGGGGGGGGCTCTTCCTGAGCACTTCAATTAACACGAGGGCTGCACTGCAATGACACCTCCAGCTCATTCTGCAGGCTCAGAGTCCTGCATCTCCCAAGGATGGGACAAGCACCTCTTCTCAGATGCCCCTGGGGTCAGGGAAGTCCGAGGCACGCGCCCGAAGGAAAACCACCTGGGTGGACTGGGGGTTTTTGAGCTTTAATAGATAAAAATTGCCGTTGGATGAGCGGGGGATAACAGCACACCCAGCTCCAAATGGCACAGATGCAGATGCACAGAGAGGACAGCGCTGCCCAGCAATGGCTGCAGCGAGCAGACACTGCACTAAGCAAGACAAATTGTGGGACAGGAGCACAGCCAGCGTTCCAAAGGAATGCCAACCTCAGCTCCGAGCCCAGCCAAGCACAAAACCACCTCCCATGCCCTCCACAGCACGGATCTGAGAAATGAGAAAAAACAACCTCTAAAAATAAACCCCAGGGGTTTGACAAACTCCCTGTTTTGCTGATTTTCTAGTTAACATCCCACTCAAAAGCTCTTAAACCAGGCAAAGACGAGCTCAGGACAAAGCGAGGCCCCATTTTTCTCCTTAAGGATCCGTTTCAGTCCTCGCAGAGCTAAAGCCTGGCAATGAAGGGTTGATAAGGGCACTAAAGCACATCTCCTTCCCTCCCTAATCTCCCCACAAGGGTTTATCTTGTCATATCCCAGCCAGGCTGGCTGATGTCCAGCCCCCACTCCCCAGCTCAGCCACAACAACAACATCCCAGAGCCTCAAAATCCACTGGAACTGGGGAATGCCACTGCCTGCTCCACGAGAGACTCTGCCATTCGTCACTGGGTGGGCCAGTTCTCTCTCCTGTCCTTTCTAAATCCTCTTGGAACCTAAAACCACATCAGTATCCAGCCTGAACAGCACCAAAAATATGACAGGAATAAAAGACCCCACTTATTCTCCGCCCACCCTCAAAACCCAAACCCGACCCCTCCCTCTCGTTCCAAAAGAGACCAAACCACCAAAAACCCCACAGCCCACAGAAAGCCCTCAAAAGAACCCTTCTCCATCCTTCAACTTGGCCGTGCCTCGAAACACCTTTAGTGTTCTGAGTGCTCCAAGCAGCTGATAAAGGGGGAGCACTCCGAATTTTACTGACTGAAAACCAACACAAGGACGTCTCCCCAGAGCTCCCATCCATCCTCATTAGCTCCAACAACAGCAATTCCACACCTGCATACTCGTGACTTCTTTACTTAAAATCCCAAATGAAGATTTAACGCTCCTGGCCGGGGAAGATGCAGATCCTGGGCTGAGCAAACGGACACGGTCCTGCCTCCCCCTGCAAGGTCAGGACACAAAAACTCCTCCTTCAGGGAAACAACTCCCAGCAAGGCCTGGGCTGCCCTTCAGGGGAAGGAAGGAGGAGCAGATCCACCTGTTCAGGGGTGATGTTAAACACAGGGTTCTGTTTGTGTTCAGCAAAAAAAAAAAAAATTCACCACAGACGCTCAACATAATCTGCAAACCTGCCAGCTCGGGGAAGGAGGGAGCAGCCAGGAGGGGAGGATGAGCTGGAGACATAAATCTTCACCTCCAAGTGTTGATGTGACACAAGCATTGGACACTTACACGAGCCTGTCATCAGTGAGCACGAGGCATATTTTATATCACCCAAGTTTTCGTGTTTCTGCTCATGAGAGCACTGAAAGGTGATTTCAGCACAATGTGAAAGCCCTCAGTGTTCTGAGGGATGTCCTGGCAAGGGTTGGGATGGATTCCCTGTGCTTTCCATGCCAGCAGAGACTGGCTGAAGTCATGAGCCCACACTGCAGCCTCTTCCCAATGGAAAGCAGAAAGTTTTCTTAAAAAAGGGCAGAAGTGGAAGTGAAGTGTGCCACCACCACACAACGGAGAAGCTGCGCCCACCCTCACGTCTGGGTCATTTCCTGGTACCAAAAACCATCAGCACTGTATTTTTTTTTTTTTTTAAACTTTTTACTATTACAGTCTAAAATATATTCAAAGCACCCAATGACACCTCTACTAAATGTGCTTTTTCAGCCCCTAGCGAAGTTTAAAAATAAATTTTGCATCTGTTAGCATTCTATTTCTGCGTAAAAGAGAGAACAAAATCCTTATAAAGATAAAATACTCCACTGAAGATAATGCCATTGCACCACTGCCGGAGAACTTCACAGCAGCTCCAGATTCAATGTTGTAAACCCTTTTATGGGACTTTAGTACTTAGAAATGAAATTGTAAATGGGGAAGTGCAGATTGCTTTGATTTAGAAAATTGTTGCCATTAAACAGTTTACAAAGAGCCCGGTGTTTGGGCGTCGTTATCCCCGACGTGTCAAAGGAAGCGGCTCCACGATATTTGAAGCGCTCCCAATTTCTCATAAATATCATTTATATTCCGAGGCTGCTGCTCAGCGTTATCAAGAAATATCATTTACATTCCTCTGTAGTTACACAGCGTGATTACCTGAACAGAGAGCCCCTTACCTGGCATAAATAATGAGAAAACAGGAGGCCACGGTGTTTGAGAGCTTTAATAACTGAGGTAGCGAGTGCTGCACTGCAGCTGAGCTTTTACAAGGCACAGAAAAACACCTCAGTGCCCACGAGCTGGAAAAACGTTCAAATCCTTGGTCCCTGCGTTCACAACTCCTGGTTGTGCACAGGAGTCTCACCAGCCTCGAGGGAGGGGCCGAGGCCACGTGCTGGGGATTTTCTGCCTGGAATTTCAGCCCAGATTTGCTGCACAAACACCCCAACTGACGCTTCCTTTCCCTGATTCCACCGCAGCAGAGCAACAGTTCTCTGCCCAGCCAGACATCAAAAGGTGCTTTTGGTTTCTGTGCCTCAAACCATTGCGGATCCATCTGCCTGGATACGCACACGCTCCTTGGAATCGCCCGGATTTATCAACCAGCTTCCCCCCATCATCCAATTTCACACTTTACACTCCTTGGCCAGGTGACATCCAGGTGACAGCGCTGGGTGATCCACAGGCACACCAAAGGGCAGAGGATGCACAGTGACCCCAAGGTTAAAACCTTGGAAACTGGGAGAGGAGAGAGGATGGAGCAATGGATGATGCAATGGAGCATCACACCAACAACCAGCCCGTGCCCACACACCCCAGTCCCACTGCCAAAACCATCAGAGTCTGCCTGGAGCTACAACTGTCCCTTTACCCTGATCACCACGGGGAGGGAGAGAGACTTCAGTTATATTCCAACTGCAGAGAAAAACTCTTTTACTTGGAGCACGTGGACTCCAAAGTCAAGGATCCAGACCCTTCCCAAACCCTGGTGTGCACGGAACTGCCCTTCCCAGTTTGGACAATCTGGAGGGAGGCAAAGGCAGGAACAGGCACAGAAGGAGAAGGGTGATCTGCTCACCAGAAATCAAGGGGCCCCTTCAAGCAGTCGCTCATCTCCTCCAGATGGACAAGTGAGTCCTCCAGGAAGCAAACAAATGGCTTAAATCAGCTGTTACTGCCCAGGAAACGGCTGCTTGCTGAGGAACTTCTGACACAGGGGAGACAAATGCCCCCAGAATGCTTTCAGGAATCTAAATGCAACAAATAAGGACAGATGATCTGCTACTTAAGTTGCTTTACAGGCCATTTCTCCCTGGGCTGCGTTGCTGACCTGATCATTCCCCACCACACAGGAATGCAAATGCAGAAGGTATTCTCCAGAAAGCTCCCAGAAAAATAAAAAAAAACCCCAACAAGTAGAGGAGATGCTTCACCCAGGAAGAACAGGAGCAGTTCTGCTTCCACAAAGCTTTGCCAGGAGCAAAACCAACCTGGGGAGCAGCTACAAATAAAAGGCATTTATCCCTTTTTAGCTTCTTGCAAGAAGCCATCCAAAGTGGCAGGTAAAAGGAAATAAAAGCAACAACTGTAAAGAAAATCACTGGGTTGATAGAAAAACCTGGATATTTGTATTCCGTGAAAGGTGTGGAAATTAAAAATAAAAAAAAAAAAAAGAAAAAAAGAATCAAACCAACATTAGACAGGTATTTGATTTTCACAACCGCCTGCAAATCAACCTTCCATGATTCTCAGCAAATATTGGCTTCCAATTAACTCCCTTAAATAAGACGGGTCAGACCGAGTGTTTTCACAAACTCTCATCTCCTGGTGACAGGAGCTGCTGGTTGGGAAACAGGTCTGGAAAAAAAAAAAATGGGATTGATGGCACTTATCTCACTCCAAACCACTCACAGTGATGCAGCCATCGATTCTCACCTCCACCTTTCTCAAAGCCCAGGTGGAATAAAGGGGAAAAAAAAAAAAAAAAAAGGCAGTTTGTGAGTAAGGACGAGCAGATACATTCCCAGCAGGAGCCAGAAATGCCCCTCACAGGACTCTCTTCTCCTCCCAGGCTGCACACACAGCATTTTCTCCCCCAAAACAAGACCAGAACCAGCCCAGCCCGCTTTCTGTGCCTCCTCTCCATCCATCCCAGCGCTGGTGCTCCCTCAGAGCCCCCGCTGGGACCGTGGGACGCGCCGGGAGAAGCTCCAGCCAAACCCGCGGCGGATCAGACACACCAACCAACCAGGAGATACATTTTTATCAGCAAATTCTCTCACACTGATTCTGTAATTTCTTCCTGTTTGATCCTCTAATATTAAAGACGCTTTTGTGCTTCAAAGATGTTCAGTCAAGGGCTTTGTTTCCAGGCTTCTGACAAACCTTCCCCGCCAGAGCTGGATCACAGCGGTTCAGACCTGAGGGAAATTCTGATTTTATTTTTTTTTTTTCGTATCACCGTCAGCTAACAGAGCTCCAAAATCTAAATATTGATTGACTTTTGAAATATTATTGATGAAACCCCCTGTCTCGCGCAACTTATTCCTGCAAACGTTACCCGGCCTTGAATTATTTAAATTTAATAATCCGAACGATGGAAAATTAAATTAATATTGAAATTGCAAGCAACGGTAATTGAAATCACTGTTGATAAATAACAATTTAAGAGATCCCTGAGTATTTTAATTGGCTTTAATTTGTAAATGCCAAGTATCTTCTCACCCCCTGGACAGGGCTGGGTAATGGCACGTGCCAGGGAGATTCACCTGGTTCAGATGAACCAAGGCACAATCAGAGCAGGAAAAGCTCCTCAGGTCACTGCTGAAACCTCTCAGAGCAGACCCCAAATCCTGCATTCCAGCCCAAAGCTCCACCCAAATCACGACCTTCCCTCCACGTCCATAAGCCCCAAACCCCCCCTGTAAAGTGCCCTTTCTGCACAGATTCATTGCAAGGATTATCTGAGGATGCCACTTGCAGGGCCATTAAAAAGAGGAGAAATAAAAGCCATAAGAGGACAAAATAATAATAATAATAATAATAATAATAATAATAATTCCAGTTTTCTGAGCACAGTGGCAAACAAAGCATTTGTGTGGTTTGTGTTCCAAGCTGCAGAGTTTTGGCTTGACATGATCATCTGACAGGGGAAAAAAACACTAAAGGGGGAAAAGGTAAAGCTCCAGGAAGGTTTTATTCCCTCTGAAGAGCACAAGCCAACCTTCCCTGGTATTGCAGGTGTCCCTTTGTCCAGCACTGCTGCTCTAACCCAGTCACAGAACAGTCTGGGCTGGAGCGTGTGAAGCAGAAAGAAGTCCCTGAGGATGTTTGGGTGGGAATTCAGGGCTCCTGACACAAGATCAGGTGCCCCAGAGGGGTCCTGGCCTGTCACCACCTCTCTTACCCCAGTCCCACACCCACCCAGAATTATTTCCAGCCCCACAGCACGTGGCAGGTCTTTATGACAACAGGTCCCATCCCGAGCTTTCTTCCAAGGATTCCAAATCCAACGCCACCCAACAGCTCTGGAGCTCATTCAGGGGTGTTTCAGATGCTTCACAAAACCTTCAGTGATGCAGCAGCACAGGAGGCTCTGAAGTGTTTTCATCAGGCAGAGCCTGCACTCCACGCTGATATTTAAGTGACTGCAGAGCCTGTGGCAGCAGTTCCTGACATTTCCAAGCGACAGCAATGCCAGAGGCACTCAGAGCACAATTACGTAGTCGACAATTATGTCATGGTTAAGCAGCTTGGGGTTTTGGGGTTTTTTTTTTGCCTGGCTCTGAGAGGAGGCTGCAGAGCAGAGGTCATGGTTTATGAAATCCATTGACAGCAATAATCCATCCAAAAAAAAAAAAACCAACCCTCAATTCACATGCAATTAAATCACTCTTTAAATGAAAAGTAAAAAAAAAAAAAAAAAGGAGAGCAATGCTCTTTTAGCCAATGCCTCCCTAATTCCCTGCTCCTCTTCCCACCCTGCCTGCTCTGTGGGAAATGATGGGCACTGCTCACCCAAAAGCTACTGGGTTTGTGGGGGTTGGTTTTTTCCCCACAAAAAGCATGGAATTAGGTTTGTGGGGCTAATTATGCATAAGATGACTTCCAGAAATCCAAAGAAACCCATCTTGCAATCAGTGGAAGGAACATGCACTAGATTTTCTTTAAGGTTATTATTTACTTTATAGCAGCACTATTGTACCAGCCATATAAAGTCTAATTAACCACAGAGGATCGATGTCTTCGCAGCCCTTTGTAAATCAAGTTTCACTTTTCACCTGGCAGCACCTCTTGGCAACGACCAGACCCGTGTTCCAAAGCTCCTTTCCCTGACCTGCCCCTTCCTTGTCTGCATCCCAGAGCCCAGGGAAGGCAGCAAAGCAGGGCTGCAAACCTCTGAGAGCTCAGCAGTTTTGTGAAAACGCTGTTTTCGGTGTTAATCCACCAGGTTTAGATAACATTCTGCCTAAATGATCCCAATAAGTCCCTTTTGTTCCCAGCTGAGCCCGTGACATCAGCAGCTGCAGGCCCAGCACTGCAGGACCAATTGGCTCTCACCAAATCTAGAAGAGGGAAAAAAAAGCTCATGACATTCTCGCTCAGAACTTCAGCAGGGTTTGAAAAATTAGTAAATAGGCCTGGGGAGTCACATGCTGCAGCTGCAATTTGGGAGAGGCTATTTCTGTCCTTTAATTTTAATGCAATTTACCATATTATACTAAAAATGGTTCCTCTTGAGATGCTCTGCAACATTCCAGCTCCTCAGTCTGGAGCACAAGGCGCTGAGGCTGCGTGCCAACGTTTTATTATTGAAAAAAAAAGTCCTTCTCGTTTTAGGTTTTGATCCATTTTACGTTCCTTGACACAGATTAAGTTATTAGAAAAATTAATGAAAATCGCCTGCACGCCAGCAGAATTTTATTTTTTCTCTTTGGGCCTGCAAATGTCATTATCCACCCACAGCAGAGGAGGGGAGAGAGAGAGAGAGAGAGGGTCTGGTGCTGACAGACACTGCCCTACATTCCCTACCCAGGGAGGGAACCTGCTGTCAAACATGCAGATGATTTCCAAGGCAGCTCCCTCCCCCAGGGACCGTGTTTACAACAGATAAAGTGGAAATTGGGAAGGCAGCAACTTTTGGTTTGATAGCAGCGGGGAACCGACCAGGCAGCATCAAAGCAGGTCTCTGGTGGGGCTCCAGCAAGGCTGGGGCAATTTTCCCTGCCAGTCAAAGGATTTCCTCTGGATTTCAGGGGATCTGGAAGCCAGACCACCCTCCCCACTGAGCAGATCAGTGCTCCTCCCTGGAGCCAGGGAAAATGAGGATTAGGGATTCAATTGGTGCTCCTGGCCAGTGAGTTGGTGCCTCCACCAAGACAGGCACCCACCCCTGCCCTGCCTTCTGCAGGAGTGTTTTCTTTCCATCTTCTCTGCAGCTTCTGGCCCCCAACATCCCCCCCACTTTCTGCAGGGGATGTGTCAGAGCCCAGGGCAGAGCAGGGCAGTCCTGCCCTCAATCCATCTGCTTCCCAAGGCACAATTCCCCCCCTGCACCCCCAGGGGCTCTCCCAGCTGCTCAGACACCTCCAGCCCCTTCCAGACGATAATGCCATTAAACACTTGTCAGGACAGATTTGAGGGGAAGACACCAACTTAAGGTTCCCCAAAAAGTGCTTTTCATCCCTTTTCATGAAAAACCGGAGAATCCTTAAGACAAAGATGTTCTTTGAAGTTTCTTTTTAGAAACGCAGACGCTGAGGCAGGATATTCATATTCCTGATAAGCACAAATTTATGAGTTCACAGCCTTACTAAGGATTGCTCCGGGTTTGGAGGAGGCAGCTCTGGGTGTTTTATCTCCCCTGGCCAGGCTGACACAAAGAACTGGCTGATAGTGACATTCCCAGGTGAAAGGCATCTGTTGAGGTCATCAATTCTCGCCTTCAAGTGCAGAATTAATTCTGGTAAAATATTATTTATGGTTGACTCTCTGGGGCCGAGATAAGTCAGAAGAGAACAAAAGACACGTTGGGTCTGTTTACCAAGAAAACCCCATTAATAACAAGCCCTCACTGGGCAACTTTACATAAAAGGCATTTGCAAAATAATCATGTCTTGAGGAAATCTCAGAATGACAACCCCCCCCAGAAAACCTGCTCCTCAAGTGCCTGCAGCAGAGGTTTTGAAGCACTGAAGAGATCTGAGAGAAGCTGGGAGCGAAAATCTCAAGCTCTCCTGCAGGATTTTAGGGAGCCAGGGCAACCCTGGGGTACCAGAAGAGAGAGAGTGCTCTGTGAAATCAGGCAAACAATACTCTGTGTCCCACAGAAAACCCTGAACAACAGACCAGAGAGTGTTCAAACCCCTCCAGGACAGCCAAGCACCCAGGGCAGGGTTTCCTTCCCCAGAAATTAAGTGACTGTTGCTTTTCCTTGACGCCTGCTTTCCATTTTCCCCACGTGGAATGCACAAAGCCACCAACGTTTCAGGAGGTCTCCTTCTGTCAAATAAATGCAGATCAAAAAAAAAAAAGAAGAAAAAAAAAGAAACAACCCCAGCAAAACAAGCAAATGCTTGTTGGAATCACTCCCTGCATGTTTGATTTCTGCCGTGCTCGAGTGAAAGCCGGGGCAGGGAGTTCACAGTCATCTGCAAGAGTAATGGTGCAAGGGACAAACCCAGCGAGGGAGCAGCCACAGCACTCACATCTTCAGTGTTCATTAATTCAGCAGCTTCCCGGCTCATTCCAGCGGGGGAGAAGATGAATTTGTTTATAAACACAAGGATTTGCTGCTCTGTATTCTACCAAGATTTAGGACTGACCCGACGAGCCCCCAGTTTGCCCAAACTGCTGCAGCACCAGACTGGCTCTCTGTGTCCCACAGCACCAAGGAACGAGGGGGAACAGCACCAGGGAACAGAAAATTCCTTTGCCTTTCCTGAAGTTCAGTGAAGACAAAGCAGGAGGGGGGATGGAGAGCTCTGGGGAACCCACTGCAGCCACCCTGAATCCACTGGCTCACCTGACACAGAGGGGAGGGGGGGCTGAGATGGCTTAAAAATGAAATGGGATGGATTGCTGGAGACACCACACATCTCCAATGTCCCAATCCAAAAAAAAAAACACCAACCCCTAAGGATGTGCAAGGACACGAGTCTGAGGAACAGACAGGGCCACCCAGCCTGCTGAATTCAAACCTTAAAGAT